AGTGTATTAATTTAATATATATACCTGAATATTAATATGAAAGCAATTTGCCATTAACTGCCAGTGGCCTCATTTGTTACACTCGGCCCTGGAGGGCCTCGAACCTCTGACTAGTCTTACACGGTCTGCAACAGTTTGGTTTAAGTGGAAACTGTCACTTTAAATTTTGAGGCGATCTTTGCTCATGCATAGTAGAACCCTTTGAGGGTGGGGTGTCCACTTGCTTAGGCACTCCTTTAGTCATCTGAATCGATGTGCGCAGCCAGCCAGAGACCAATGAACAGATACACACAAAAAAAGGATTGTCCACACCTTTATCACCATGGCTTTGTCAGGCATCAGTGGTGGCTCTAGGAGCAGCTGAAAGTCTTGGATTAGAAAGCACTGGATTTTTTGCTTCTGCTACCAATTCCCCTACCTGTAAGCCTTCCAACCCTCTAAATATTCCTTTGTATGTGGTTCAGAGTCCTGGCATCATCCCCTGAGCCTTTTTGGTCCGGTAATCTCTGCAGACTAACCATGGGCCCTAACCAGAGGGCAGAAACCACAGCAGTTTTTGGAACTGGCTCTTCAGGGCAGCAACAAGCTATTATACAAATGGTACAACTGGCAGCCACTCTAGAAATGTGGGATGATAGTTGCATATGTAGCTCATTTAGGAAAAATCATGTTCTTCCTTTATCAAGCACTCCCGTAGTTTTTATATGTTAGATCAGGGTTGCCTGTTGGAAAATATCTTATTTCAATTGTTCTTGAGAATTGTTTTGGTTGAGGTACCAACTTCTAGAGCAAGAATAGGGAACGTTTCCTGTCTGCAAAATAATTTGGTCTGGCCCTACCAAGGCAACCACAATTCAAGTCATCACATTAAAGGTGAGTTAATTAAATGTTTGACCAAAATATAGCAGGCAAACTTTTTAAGTTAATTTCGTATGGCCTGAATGATGTTACAAGTATCCAAAATCCAAATGGCCCTTGGCAGAAAAAAAAAGTTCCCTGCCCTAATAAACAGTTTTATGAGCGATTATATAATAACAGAAATACTGCTTTTCCATCTGATCACACTCAGCAAGATAGGATGCGACTACCTTGTTTGTTATGGTATACCTTTGGCCTGTTGTTATGTGCCGTGGAATCAGTTCCGAGGTTTCCAAAGCTGTAAATCTTTAAGGGAGCAGAAAGCCTCCTCTTTCCCCCGCGGAACAGCGGTAGTTTCAAACTGCAGACCTTGCGGTTCACAACCCAATTCGTAACCACTACGCTACCAGAGCACCTTTGGCCTAGCAAGTATTTATTTAATAGGTATTTGAATGCATAAGGACTAAACTTGATAATATAAATAAATCTTTAATACAATACTTGAATTATATTGGATGTTTAATAACTGATAACTTTTTTAAATGGCTTTATGTATTTTAACTTTTCCAGGCTTAAAATATTTTCTATTTTGACCTTTTTTTTCCTTCCGGAATTTTCATTGTAGAATTGAGGAAGACGCCCCAGCTCCTTCTACCTCTGCAGATAAGATAGAGAGGTAAGATTGTTTACATGGAACAATGTTTCATTATTTTTAATACATACCAAGTACACAGGGCATTAAGGTACTTGTCTGTAACTTAAAGTTGTCATAGAGGAAAAAACCCCAAATTAAAATACATATTGTTGTTGTTGCTAGGTGGCATCAAGACAGTACTGACTCACAGAAACATTATGCACAGCAGAACGAAACACTGCCCGATCCTGGGCCAACCTCACAATTGTAGCCACGCTTGAGCCCATTGATGCTGCCACTTTGTCAGTCCATCTCGCTAGGGAATTTCCTCTTTCTCTGACCCTGCACCCTACCAATCATGATATCCTTCTCCAGTGGCTGGTCCCTCATGACAATTTGTCTAAAGTATGGGAGATAAAGTTTGGCTGTCCTGGCCTCCAAGGAGCACTCTGGCTGCATTTCCTCAAACACAGATCTATCTGTTGTTTCTTTTGACAGCCCATGGCACTTTCAATATTCTCCAACACCATAACTCAAAAGCATCAATTCTACTATGGTCCTCCTTACTCACTGTCCAGCTTTCACATGCGTATGAGGTTAATTGAAAATACTGTGTCTTGGGTCAGGCGTACCTTAGCCCAAAAGCTGACTGACATCTTTGCTCTTCAACACTTTATAAAAAGGTCTTGTGCTTTGGATTTGCCTAATGCAATATGGCATTTTATTTCTTGACTGCTGCTTCCGTGAGTAATGATAGTTGATCCAAGAAGAATGAAGTCCTTGACAACTTCAATCTTTTTCCATTGATAATGTTCTGTGGTCCAGTGGTGAGGAATTTTGTGTTCTTTACATTGACATGCAAATGCATAGTGAAGGCTGTACTCTTTGATCTTTATCAGTAAATATTTTCACTTTCAGCAAGCAAGGTTGTAACATATGCATTTTGTAGATTGTTAATCAGTCTTCCTTCAATCCTGATGCCACGTTCTTCATATAACACAGCTTCTCAGATTATTTGCTCAGCATGCAGGTTGAATAAGTATGGTGAAAGAATACAACCTTGTCTTACACCTTTCTTCATTTTAAACCATTCAGTGTTCCCATGTTCTGTTTGAACAACTGCCTCTAGGTCTATGTACAGATTTCTCATAAGCATAATCAAGTGTTCTAGAATACTCATACTTCAGTGTTATCCATAGCTTTTCATGATCCACACAATCAAACGTTTGCGTAGTCAATAAAGCACAAGTAAACATCTTTCTGATAATCTCTGCTTTCAGCCAGGATCCATCGGACATCAGCAATGATATCCCTTGTCCACGGCCTCTTCTGAATCTGGCTTGAACTTCTGGAATTTCTCTGTCAATTTATGCTTACAGTGTTTCTGTATTACCTTTAGTAAAACTTTACTCACATGAGGTATCAAAGATATTATCCAATGATTTCCACATTCCATTGGGTCCCATCTCTTTGGAATGAATGGGCACAAATACGAATCTCTTCCAATCAGTCCCAGATAGTCGTCTTTCCGATTTCTTGGCAGAGATGAGTGAGTGCCTCCTGTGCCACCTGACTTTCTTAAAAGATTTCAATTTTTATTCCATCATTTCCTGGTATCGTGTTCTTTGCCAATTTCTTCAATGCACTTTGGATTTCTTCATTCAATATCATTGGCTCTTGATCATATATGCTACCCCTTGAAACGGATGAACATCAACAATTTCCTGTTGGCACAATGATTGTGTATTCCTTCCATCTTCTTTTGATGCTTTCTGCATCGTTCAATAATTTGTCCATAGAATCCTGCAATAACAAAAGTCAGTGCTTGAATTTTTTTTTCTTCAGTTCCTCCAACTTGAGAAATGCTGAGCATGTTCTTCCTGTTTGATTTTCTGACTCTAGATCTTTGCATATTTTGTTGTAATATTTGGCTTTATCTTCTTGAGCTGATCTTTGAAATTTTCTGTTCTATATCTCCAAAGGGCACATTCTGCAAGTCTGCCTTCTGGCAACCAGCTCTTAATCCCTCTCTTCTTAGTCCATGAATGTACAGTCCTCACTTTGTAATTGTTTTGATCATAGACTGACCTCCCAGATCCTCTGTTCTTATAATTTTATTCTTTTCTGAACTCTTCCATTATTCGATTGAGTTCGGGATGCTGCTGCCATGTACGTCATTCTCTAGTTGTTGTCTGTTCTTATTGGTTCTCAGTCCACAGAACTTCCTTTAGGCTGTTTTTCATAGCAGGGTTGGCTTTAGCAAAATCCCTTAGCTTCTGTTTAACCTGGAATGTTTTGATTACACTATCATATTTGATTGTCATATTTGCTGGGTAGAGGATTCTTGTTACACTTCTCTTTTCCTTAGCTGCTTTCAAGATCCTGTCCTTATCTTTGATTTTGGAGAGCTTGATTATTATATGTCTTGGTGATTGTCTTTTAGGATCTATCCATCCTGGGGTTCGTTGAGCTTCTTGAATGCTTATCTTTTCACTTTTCAGGATGTTAGGAAAATTTTCTTCCAGAAGCTCTTCAACTATCTCCTCTGTTGACTTATGTGATTTTTCTGTTCCCGGAATGCCAATAATCCGTAAATTATTCCTCTTCATGTTGTCCATCATGAATCTTAGGCCTTCTTCATAATTTTAAAACCTTTTTTGTGTTTGCTCATCTGTCTTAGTAGTGTTGAGAGATTTATCTTCTAGTTCACTAGTTCTGGCTTCTATCTTGATTGTTCCTGTAGCGCTTTCCTGACTTCTTCCTTATTTTTCTCAACTCCATTATATAGTGTTTTGATGCATTTTATAATCATTTTTCTGCATTCTTTCTCAGGCATTTCTATAGCCTGCCCATCTCCCAGTATGGAGTGTAGGTCAACTTCCAGCTCATTTGCCTCAGTCGCTTTATCTCGTTTCTGGACATGTGCAGATATGGTCATCTGCTTCTGTTTTTTTTTGGGCATATTCAGGGGTTATCTGTGGCCTTAATACTTAGATGGGTATGTATTTTGGTATTTTTTATGCTTTCTGATTGCCTCCAGGTAGATGTGATCAGGAGATAGGCTTCCCTTTTCACTTTTTTGAGAAATTTCAAGATGCCAATGTTGGTTGTTTGACATAATGTAGGATTTAATTTTCAGCCTATTTCCTTTCTTGTCTGCCTATCCTGCTTCACAATCCCCGTTCAGGCCTTTTTTCTAGTTATAAACAGTTTAGGGCCGGCTGTGGCTGTTTGGTTTTAAGTGGAAACTGTCTCTTTAAATTTCGAGGAGATCTGTGCGCATGCATAGTAGGGTAGTAGGATCCTCCGAGGGTGTGGCTGGGGTGTCCACTAGCTCAGGCACCTCTATAGTCACCAGAATGTAGGTGCACAGACAGCAAGGGACTAATGAACAGATCCCAAAAGAAAAGAGTATCCACACCTTTATCTTCACAGTTCTGTCAGGCATCCGTGGCTGTTTTGATCCTTCCCCCACTTGGTCTCACCCAGGATGACAGCTCTTGAAGTAGCTGGGGGTCTTTGAATTAGAAGGCAATGGAATTGTTGCTTCTGCTACAAATTCCCCTAGCTGTAGGCTTTCCAACCTTCTAAATATTCCTTTATATGTGGTTCAGAGTTCTGGCACCACCCATGAGCCTGCTTGGTCCAGTATTCTGTGTTGTTACTGATGGGCTCTCCTTACTGCACTTCCACCCGATCCGCCATCTTGTTTGTTTCCATTTCTTGTCAAATTAATGACTTTTTACTTTCTACATGTATGATCTTGATGTTATCCCACAACGCTTCTGGTCTTCAGTCTTTAGTGTTTAATGTATCAGATGACCTCTAAATTCAGGTGGGAGATATATTCAAGGTCATATTTTGGCTCTCATGGACTTGTTTTCATTTTCTTCATCTTCAGTTTGAATTTGCATATGACCAATTGATGGTATGTTCCACAATCTGTCCCTGGCCTTGGTTTCCATAGTATTTTTTACAGATATAGTCAGTGTGATTTCTGTGTATTTCATCTGGCAAGGTCCATGTGTATAGTCATCTCTTATACTGTCTAAAGAAGGTATTTGAAATGAACAAATAATTGGTTTTGCAGTATCCTATCAATGTGATCTCCAGCATCATTTCTGTCACTCTTTTATTAATTATTAAATGGAATAATGACAAGGGGGACAAAATCCAGATGAGAACTACTATCATGATCCATGATGATGGAGCCACCTCCATATAACCAAGTTTATAGAACACAGAGAACAAATGTCATTACAGAACGACTACATAAGCATGCATGGGGACTATTGCAGATAGGAAAATTTATTGACTTGGCCTTGAGTGTGTCTCGGTCACGTATAGACCCCAGGTTTCATTACGGGACTTTACCAGGCAAGTTTCAGAGCTGGCTCTGGGCTGACTAAGGGAGTAGCTTTAATCTATTTTCAGATATACCTTGCCTGAGAACTAAGTTCTGTTTCCCTGACTTTAGCAGTCAAGGGAGCATAATAGTTATGAATGATATCTGAAACTTAATACTAAGGCTCAAGATGGTAGTAGTGCTCTTGACTTCTGTCTGCGATTGTTCACTAGCAAACTGGTGCCTTCCAGTTTCATGTTCTAAAGCAAAGTGTAGAATCCTGATAGCAGTGGTTTTTAAAAAATTATTAAGTTTAATATTTGTTATTGTTAAGTACCGTGGAATTGGTTCTGACTCATAGTGACCCTGCACAGGGTTTCCGAGGGTGCAAATCTTTATAGGCACAGAAAGCCTTATCTTTGTCCTGCAGAACATGTGGTAGTTTCGAAATGCCGACCCCGAGGTTTAGCACCCCAATTCGTAACCACTATGCTACCAGAATGTTTAATATTTATTAAACATGGGTGTGGTAGGGAGCGGCAGGCATTTATTAATTGAAGACTCGTAGATAGGAAGACAGCTATTCCAAGTTGTTAAGTCATTGCTGTCAAGTCAGTTCTGACTCATAGAGAGCCTGTATCAGATTTACAAGGAGCAACTGGTGAATTTGAACTGCAGACCTTGTTTGTGTTTAGCAGTCCATTTCTTAATCCTACAGTGCCACACCAAGACTGCAGCTCCTATAAGGAGAGGCACAAAAACCAGTGAAAGGCAAGAGGATTTAAGGGTTATTTCTCTGAAAGAAGTCCTATTCTGCTAAATGCAAGACCAGCAGTGCAAACTCACTAGCCCAGAGGGAGAATGATGAGACTGTCTATTAAAGATTATGGTCTCTGAAAGCCTATATAGGGACCCTTGGAGTTGAAATTGACTACATAGATAGCAATGAATTGGCGTTTCTGTGGTAGAAGCAGCACTGGAGGCACACTGTTTAAGCACTTACCCTCCATAGGATTGTTGTTGTTAAGTGCTGTCGAATCGGTTCCGACCCATAGCGACCCTGTACAGGGTTTCCGAGGCTGTAAATCTTTACGGGAGCAGAATGCCTCATCTGTCTCCCGCGGTTCCGGCTGGTACTTTCGAACTGCTGCCTTAAGGTTCACAGCCCGATTCGTAACCACTACGCTACCAGCGCTCCTTAGAAATCCTATGGGGCAGTTCTACTCTGTCTTCTATGGACTGGAATCTAACAACCCCTTGGGTTTTTAAATTTTTGTTTTTTTATGGTCAAACTGACAGTATTTCTTGGACAGTAATGTGATCTGCATATAGTCAATTCTTAATGTTATTTGCCCTAGTCATGCCCCAAATTATGTTTTCTGACACTTTTTCACCATTGGAAAAACAAGGAAGGATGTAAAGACTGAGATCTCACAGGTGAGACCAGAACTACAACTCTCAAAACTCTAGGGAGGGTCTCTCGGCCACTTTAAGGGGCCCCACCCTGGTGTGGAGCTGAGGGCCAATGTGGCAGGCTACAAAGTTGTTTGAACTGCAAAATCCATGGTTCAAGCTCACCAGCTGCTCCTTCGAAACCCTATACAGGGTCGCTATGGATCAGAATCGACTCGATGGCACTTAACAACAACCCACTAGGGGAGCAGTCCTCTGGACAAATGGCTGCCTTTTTAAAACACCCCCAGAGCCTTGAGGGTCAAGGCCAGGAAACTACCCACATCATGGTGATGAAGACCAGCTATGTGTTTTTTGGTCATTTATTAAAATGGAAAGTTATTTAGTTCTACTTCTTCCTCAGCATACCACATGCCTTATAAATGTTTGTTTCTCATTTTGGATCTCTACTTAGTAAGGTTACCATTTTCGATTTTTGTTACTATTCTCAATTATTAAGTTTTATGTTTGCCCCACATCTTTTTGAATATGAATTCTCCATCTTGATGTGGCTATGAGCTTCTTGACTAAATCAAAACCTTAACAAATATTTATAGTATGTACAGTACGGGCTATGTGACCAAGTAATCCTTTATGAAAAAATACTCTAGTCAAGTTTTTGAAATGTTCCCTTTGCAGTGAGCTTGCTTGGCCTTGCCAGAGTAGTACATTGGTATAAAAGTTTTTTTAAAATTTCAATTATTATGGTTTAAGTATAGTCTGTTGGGTCCACTCAATGGCACTTAACAATAACAACAACATAGTCTTGTGGGGATTGAAGGAATACAAATTGAAATCTTGCAACAAACTGATACTGTATGTATCGCACCTCAATGTGAAAAAGCCCAAAGCCTGACAATTGGACCAATGAGTGTTGTTGTTAAATGCTGTCAAACTAATCTGCAAATACAGCCAGAATGTTCCTTAAAAGCTGTGATGGTGAGACTTTATCTCTCATATTTCACATATGTTATTAGGAGGGACCAGTCCCTAGAGAAAGGAAGGACATGGTTGCTAAGTCAGCATAAAAGAGTAAGAAGAAACCCCGCCCCAACCAGTGAGATGGATTGGGAACAATGGATTTCAGCGTAACAATTGTGAGGACTGTACAGTACTGGACACTGTTTCATTCTTTTGTGCATAGGGTTGCTATGCTTCACAGCACATAAGGCAAATAATGACATAGTTGTATAGAGTCCTGGTATAGCACTGTAGGGTATGCACTGGACTGCTAACTGCAGTTTGGCTGCTTCAAACCAACTAGCTGTTCCTCAGAAACTATATACAAGGTCATTAAGTGTCAGAAACAACTTGATGGTCTTAACAAGAAGTATAGTAGGTTTTCAAAATTGTGTGTTTTTTGAAATAATTCTTTGACACTGGAAACAATTATTTTTCTTGTAGTTTGGATGTGGATAGTGAAGCCAAGAAACTAATGGGTTTAGGACAGAAACATCTGGTGATGGGGGATATTCCAGCAGCTGTCAATGCATTCCAGGAAGCAGCTAGTCTTTTGTAAGTATTGTGTGTTTTCTGTGATATCCTATCAAATTTTAATAAGCTTTGAGTTATCAAATGGCATATATACAAAAAAAGTGAAGAGCTAGAGCTTAAAAAAAGTTCTGATTTTTTTTCATGTAGTTTATTCCTGTCACTGTAACAATGAAATAATTCAGCATTAACTTTTATTTTTAATGTTTTATTGTGAATTATGTAATTAGTTTACATGGGAGAACATTAGCTTTACATTCATCCTATCGTATATCGTTTCAATCCCCTCCATGCATTGTCGACCAACCAAAGGGTGTACACAACAAGCCTGCCCCCGGTCGTCAGCACACAGCCCCTCTCCCTCTCTGGGTCTAAAGTCCCCAGCTGTTTCATCTCTCCACTTCATCTCTGCTTCTTCTCTGACATCACTGCTTCTCTGGGTAGGGTCCTGTTCTCTGCTCTTCTCCCTTGATGGTCCCAGGGACTTCCGCTCCTACACTGCAAAGTCAACCACTCCCCTCATTTTGCTACAAAACGTCTATCTTTACATTTCCAACCCTCACAATCAGTCTTGATAACAGTTATTCACTGTTATACCACATGAGTGCTATTCCCATCTCCTTTCATCAGCCCCGCCCAGACTGATTGGATACTAAGTGGAGATACTACATTCCTCAGCAGCCTCTGGATCTAGGTTCCCTCTTGAAAGTTTGTAAGCCAGTCATTTCTTGCCTTTGTAGCCTTCCCCACCCCCCAATTTGGGTAGCCAATGTCCAAGTTGCCCATCCCTGTCTACCCTTGTGTATGGAGTGGGGGGTGGGAATGATCCTTGTTGTAAAGATTTGTTCCCTCTTTTGAGCTACTGCATTCATAGGTGTAGGTCAAATTCATCAAATTGTATCAGATTACTTTTTTCCCCTCTTCTTCTAGTTGAGCTCTGATCTTTCAGTCATTGAAGCCAGGTCAACTGGGTAGCATTAACTTTTTAAAGTAAATTTTTGGGTCAAATTACCACTAATTTGGGTTTATCAGGGATTTTCCTGATTTTAGCACTGGTGGTATCCTGGAGGAGTCCTTGTCTAGCTCTGTAAGGTAGGCACTGGACTCCTAACCAAAAGGTTGTCATTTCAAACCCAGCCACTCCTTGGATACCTTATACAGGATTGTTTTGAGCCAGAAAGGACTCAACAGTACTTAACAACAACAAAGTATCCTGGGAAAAACACTTTGAGTTCATGATGGTTGGCACAATACTACTTTTCTACTGGTATTATTAGCACAAAATTGTAACATAATTTCAGAGATCATGCTCTTAACAATATATCGTGCTATATTTCCATGTGCTTTACTCATCTTCTAGGATCCATTAAATATTATGGAGTATATAGACTCTTCTTCTCCCCTGTCTTATACCAAGAAGAATGCCTATTAATGCAGGTTGGCTGTTAGAGTATATATTAATTGTAGTGAATTGCTGTCATTTAGAACATGTGTCTAGTTGAAGAACATGCAACATTAATTAGATAGGTTTGAGAATTTATAAAAATTGTATTTTCATGATTGTTGTTGTTATGTGCCGTGGAGTCGGTTCCGACTCATAGTGACCCTGCACAGGGTTTCCAAGACTGGAAATCTTTATGGGAGCAGAAAGCTGAGGCTTTCTCCCGCAGAACAGCTGGTAGTTTCGAACTGCTGACCCTGAGGTATGCAGCCCGATTTGTAACCGCTACGCTAACAGAGCTCCTTTCTATTAGTGGCGTCCTGGTGTGGTGCTCTGTGTTAATGCCTTGGACTGCAAGGTCAATGTGAACTGCAGATTGGTATACAAGCTCACTAGCTGTGCTTTGGAAACCCTGTAACAGGGTCACTATGAATCGGAATCAACTGTATGGGACTTAACAACAACCCAACAATCTATTAATATTGATTTTTACATGTTTTTCTAATATGAATCAACATGCAGAAAAATTTCATATAATATATATAATAGTATTACATAAATGACTGCAAATACTACAGGGAAATTTTTGACAGCACTCCTCATATTGATAAATTTAGTGTTACTTTTCAGTTCTCTTATGAGTTTGATGTTATTAATGCACTGCCAGAAAATTTTGACGTTATTTCTATTGTCGGTAACTGCCGTTGAGTTGGTTCCGACTCAGTAGAAACCCTATACAGGATTTCTAAGGAATGGCTGCTGGGTCTGAACTGCCAAGGTTGCAGTTAGCAGTCCTGGATAAACATTACAGGATAAACTATAAAGTCACACCAGGACTCCTAGACATAGTTTTGAGTGATAAGTTTACATGGGAGAGCATCGGTTTTACATTCATCCTATCGTATTTTGTTTTATTGCAATGATTACAATCCCCTCCTTAAATCATCATTCAACAGTATTTGTTTCCAGGCCCTCTTGTTTTGTTTTTGGATGTATATAACCATCCAAACAACCAAAGGGAATATATACCCTGCACCCCAACCTCCTGCCCGCCAGCACACAACCACTCTCCCTCCTTGAGTCTAGAGTCCTAATCACTCCATCTCTGCACGTCATTGTCTCTGCCTGCCTCCATCTCTTGACACCTCTGCTTTTCTGGATAGGGTCCCACACTCTGCTCTTCTCCCTTGATGGTCCTAGGATCCTCCACTCCTAGACTGCAAGATCAACCACTCCCCTATTTTTTTTTTTTTTTTACAAAATGTCTACCAGGGTCCTCCGCTCTTGGACTGCATCAAGTCAGTTCCAAACCATAGGGTTTCCGAGAAATCAGCTAGTGAGTTTGAGGTTGAAACTGACTTTGCAGTCCAGCTTATTAACCCATAGCACCACACCAAGAATCCTTCCTAGTGTTATAGACCTGCCTATTTGGCTGAAAATTAAGCCATGGGCATCAGTTTTGCTCTAAAGAGTGACTAAGGACCATAGTCTTTGGGGTTCCACCAGTGTCTTTTGTGGTCTTTTAAAATGATTTTGAGTTTTGTTTTCCACATTTTCTCCCATGCTGTCCAGGAACTTTTATTGTGATAAAGAAATGGAAATAAATGTTTATTTTAATTCACATCTTCGATGTTTGTTCTCTTTGTAGAGGTAAAAAATATGGAGAAACAGCTAATGAGTGTGGAGAAGCTTTCTTTTTCTATGGGAAATCACTTCTGGAGTTGGCAAGGTATGTCTTTGAATTCTCAGTTTATAGGTAGGATGTTGTGTACTGCCAGTTTTATGTTATGATGTACACATTTTGAGATTTCATGAGCCAGGTTTTGAAGCAATGTGAATATTGTTGTGATGGTCCAGTATATAAAGAGTTTTGACTTTGGGGTTATTAGAAGGAAAGATCTTTCTACTAGTGTATGGTCAAAGTTGGGTAAAGCACAACAGATTCTTTAAAAGCACTCAGCTAGCATGCAAAACAATCGCTCTTAACAAGTAATGAATAAAGAACAATTGGAATGTACTAGTATATGAGAATAGCAAATAAAACTAATTGTATATTTGAAATTTGTGGATATTTTTACCATAATCTAACCAGAATAAATTATTATTGAGTACATAATAGTTGAATAATCAGTTATCCACTTAATGTCAGTTCTGGTAGATCTTGTAAAGCTAAGAAATGTTAATTGGTTATATAGAAAAGTGTGGGTAGATCCAAAGTTAGTGAAGTATGGCTGTATTGTAAAGTGGGTATATAGAGGCTTTGCTTACTTGTCCACAATGATGAAGTCATTTTGGACTTTTCATGTGCCTGGATAAAAAGGGGTAGATTGTATTTATTTCTTTCCATGCTCCTTTGGTTGCTAGTTTGCGCTCTTGAATATTTGCAGTTCATATTCCCTGTACCTACTTACTTAGTATTCTTTTGTTCCTCCATAAATTTATAATTTCTGTATTAGGAAAAATTTAGATTCTATCCTTCATACCTTTGGCATTTTTCTCCTTTTGTTCTCCTAGAATGGAGAATGGTGTGTTGGGAAATGCCCTGGAAGGTGTGCATGTGGAAGAGGAGGAAGGAGAAAAAACAGAAGACGAAACTTTGGTAGAAAATAATGATAACGTCGATGGTATGTGGAGTTGCATTTGACATTCAAGAGATGAAACGTGTTTTTCTTGTGTACAATGAGGAAATAGGACTCTCCTTGCCTTGGATGGTCTTTCCTGAGATGCCTGGATGACACCTGCATCTGGTAGAGACTGATGGGGGTTATCCAATTACTGAAACTGAGCAGAATTTTTGTAACAGGAAATATATATTCTCAAACAAATCAGATTATTTGGTGTTCTAGATATCACTACAACTTTAAATATTTATCTGATACAATTTTTTTCAAATCTATGTGGCTCAGTTTTAATAGCAATATTTTCAGAGACCTTTATATTTTGTCTTAAGAAAGTTAAATGTTAATTTCTGTGCTGAGTTTGGCTACTCCACTAGACATTCACATAATCAGGTATTCAATGATGTTTAGAGGAGTACAAAAAGCTTGGCATTTCTTACCTAAGTGATACTCAGAATGCTCAAGTAAAACTATATCCTTTAAGGAATTTGTGTTTCTCTTAGAATAAGTTGTTCTGCTAGCCTGGTATTCTTTGCTTTCTTGGGGGTGGGGCCAGATATATTTAAGTCATCTGCTAACGCTTAACAAGCCAGGCTGTTTGAGGGTTTAAAGGGAATGTATTTTTAAATTTTTACATTTCCATTTATGCCTTTATCATTAAACTCGAAGACATGTTTATGCTTCATGTTCTTTAACCATGTAGAGGAAGCAAGGGAAGAATTGAGAGGACAGGTATATGACGCGATGGGAGAAAAAGAAGCCAAAAAAACAGAAGACAAGTCTCTGTTAAAGCCTGAAACTGATCAAAAACAAGAAACTGAAATGGAGAAAGGTGAAAGAGAAGATATGGATTTAAGTGATCCTGCTGAACAGCTGCAAGTAAAGGTTGAATCAACCCCAGATCAACTAACTGAAACTTCCAAAGAGGCAAAAGGAGCAATAGCATCAGGACTGAATAAAGAAGAGGTCACTTCTAGGAAGCCAGAAACAGAAGTACCTGTTGCTGAGGAAGGAAAATCAGCAACCGGAACAAACATCCAGGAGGAAGAAGAGTACAGAGAAAAAGGAGATCAAGAGAAGCAGGAAAAGGTAATTATAAGCATGGAGGAAAAGCCTAAAGAAGCTTCAGAACAACAGTCTATTGTTCCTCTAAAAGAGCAGGGCACTATAGTGGAGGTAACAGCAGAACCTGGAGACCTAACAGTCAAGCCTGTGGATTTGGGTGGGGAGAACCCAAAGCAACAGGTAGCTCCTTCTGAAAACGAGCCCGAAAAGGCTGTTCTTGAGGAGCTACTTGTAGGGCAAGAAGTGGCCCTTGATAAGGAATCAACAGATGTGAGAACAGAAATTGTAGAAGTTGGATCAGAAGTCTCTGAAAAACCTGAACCGGAGGCTGAAGTTCCTCTAAAGGATGGTGAAGTCAATGGAATGTCAGCCACTGGAGACCAGACTCCCATTGAATTACAAACACCTGCAGAAGGACCAACAGAAACGAAAGATGATTCAAGAGTAGAGGAGGAGGATGTTAGGGCAGAGCTGATTCCTAGCCAGGTGGAAACTAAACTGTCCATAGACGAGTCAGAGGCATCTGGAGATGGGGTTGAGACTGAGACTAAGGTAGCCCAGGGGGCTACTACGAAATCACCTGAAGACAAAGTTAAGATAACGGCTATTGAAGACACACAAGAGAGAGAAGAACAGATGAAAGAGGGTGAAGGTAACCGGGATGCAAGAGCTGCTGTGGGTGGAGTATATTTCTGGATTTAAATGATTACCATTAATCATGGGTAAAAGTCAGCCTTCATTCAGGATTTTCCGTCTGCCTTTGGAGTAGTAAAGGGTTGAGTGCAGATGGGGGTGGGTTTTTAGAGAAAGTTGAGAAAATAACATTAAAAAGCAGCAAGTGTTATCTGGCTTATAAACTAATGCTTTTTTACTAACTGCAAAATAGGCTTCCTCGGGATTTCTGTGACTTGGCTAGCTATCAGTAACTCATTGCACCACTCTAGCCAATAAAGATGGATGAAAAAGGTGGATGAGGAGTGGAGAGTGAAATAGGGAGAGAACGAGCTAGGCTGGCAGAGAATGCTGAATGGATGTTCACTTGCATGCCTCTGGATTTTTTTATTTTATTGTTCAAACGGGTCCTTTTCTCTGCTTTAGAAAGCAGGAACAGAGCAGTAGAATCCACTGAAATGTTACACTTAATTAAGCAGGCATGCCATTTAAATGAGAACGTTTCCCCTGAATGTTGTATCACCAGATTTACGACTTCTGATGATGCTCTTACCTATTCTTAGTCGTCAGAAAATATTTAGAGGTTTAACGATATTAGTTAAAACTAAATAGTCTAAACAAAACATTTTAAAAATCTAGACAACCTTATCATAACCCTCTTACTGTTTTCCCCTCTCATGCTTGCTTTGGCTACTAAAAAAGTGGTTTTTTTCTTAAAATATTATTAAATATGGATGCTTTGCAATAGTACCACTATTCATATTGTGGTTCAATTTCATTAGTTAGTAAGCCTCCCATTAGTCATTTTTTAATTGGCAAGTCTGACTTGAAATGTGTTATCATTTGAGGATTCTGCTGAATAAAGTACATCTAACATTGGCATTATAACTACAGGTAGATTTTCCAAGACCCATCATTAATATTTGCAGTTTTATTTGGTAACCTTCTTTCTACCTATGTGCAGGTCCCTGCACTCCAGCCACCACAGGCATGGTGACCAGAAGTGAATTAGCTAAATGGTATCACCATTGGGCTTTTAGCAGTTGGTTATGAGGAAATTGCCATGTCTTGATATTTAATAATAAAGAGCAAGAGTAATAATAAGCTCTGGCTTATTGGACCTTAAATGATAAGCAAAAGTAGAGGTATTTACCCACGATTTGTTTAAAATGAAAAACTATTCAATTAAATTACAGTTCCACAAGTATCTTTCTTAGAGTGCTCTCCTATTGCTTATGATTTCAAAACAATAGTGTAAATATGTAGTGGTATTATGGTTAAGAGTATTGTGGTTATATAAATGAACAAATGAGGAATTAAGGATGAGAGATTATGACTTTTTTAGTCAGATATACATATTTCTTGATCTCACACACAGCAAGGAACTTTCTATCCTTTCCATTATCTTCATCAGAAATTTCGTTGGTTGCTCATTTTAAAAAAATCACAAAATTTTGAATCATGTAATTTTTCAGTTTTGTGTATCAGGTACTCTTTTCCCATAATCTCTTAGCTCCATTTTCCCAAACTTTTTGAAACCCTCTCATAAGTAATGACAGATAATTTGTCCTAAGTGTATAGCCAGTAAAAGGATTGGGCTCTAGAACGCAGGCTCTTATTTCTAAGTTTTATTCCTCTTTACATGACACCACCACTTTGTAGAATTTTTTCTTGTATATTGATCAAGTAGCTTTCTCTTAACTAAAAAACTAAAACCTTATTTTGTACCACCCCTGGTTGGTTTTGTTTTGTTGTTGTGTTTTTTGTTTTTTGCTATTTTGTTGGGCTGTCAGTATCTCCAATACAAATAACTTGCATGCTCTTTATTTGGTACTCTTATGATTGGTAAGTGAATGACATTTTGAAATTATAGGCCATTAAGATTGGCCGTGTTCAGATGAACTAACACCAACCAATCTGTAGTGGTTACTTGACTTTTCTGTGGAAATGATAAAGCAATTAGACTCAGCAATTTGGTTTTTAAAGGTCTTTTCTTTGCTTTCTAAGTCATTATTCCAGCTTTTATTGCTTTCATGTGTGTTTGAAGATCGGAGAAATATTATAAAATAGCATTTTGTTTTCTGTGAAGACTCCTAATACGCGCCCCGGGCCTCCTCCTCCCCCACATTCAAAGAAGCTGAAGTTAGCATAATTCCTTACTAAGGACATCAGGGCATTCCCATTGATATCTGGGTAGATGTTACCCAATGGAAAATATTGTTTTTGATAACCTAGTTCCCCTATCGCCATTCTGTGTAGGTAGTACAGGTTAGATTTCTCAAGAGAAACCAGTACTCTTCTCAGCCATTATAAGAATTGTAGTTTTAAAATTTGATACAAAACTTCAGGTAAATAATTTCTGCCAGATTATATGTCATTTTCTAGCATTCCGGTATGAATAGGGACAGATACCAAACAAGCATATAAAATTACAACTTTTAATACTTCATCTTTTTAATATCTCCTGCAAATTGGGCATATTGAATATAGGTGATATTATTATAAGCAATAATACATTCATTCACCTTAACCACTCTTGCATACCCAAGGATGGGTTTCTTTGCTAGAATCAACAAAACCACCCATCTAGTCTACATTTGGGAAGCCACATTCACAAACCACTTATGGAAATTTTGACATAGAAAGATAATGGTGGTATGGTGGTTCCTGTTTGTTTCAAAAGAAAGTCAAGCCACTTGATAAAAGACTTGTTTTTGTTTGTATAGAGGTTATAGACTCTTAAGACTTTGTCTTAAATATTTGTAACATATAAGAATTTGTTTTCTCTGCCTGTTTCACATATTTAAAGCACTATTGGCAGGAAACGGGAAAGTCCATAAACTTGACTTAATGACCCAAGGCTTAATTGTCACATTTATATTCCCAAGTAGATAGATGGGACTTAATATTTGGAGTCCTGATAGGGTGCTGTAAGATAATACATTGAATTGCAAGGTTGGCAGATCAAATAATTTTCCAGCGGCTCCTTGGAAATCCAAACAGGGTCACTATGTGTTGGAACTGACTTGAAGGCACTTAACAACAAATACTTAAATGCCTTTGCTTGGTGTTAGTGTTTAAGAATGCTTAATGAAAGATATCAGAGGTGGTAGGTGTATGACTTCATCTACCTCATGTTTGTACCAACAAACCCATTTTAATCACTTGACATTAAAATGATTGATACTTTAATTTGTCTTAGTAAGTGCAGAGCTATTTATGAGCAGCCTGTCCTTACTAGGCATAATGGGTGTATGTCAAGATGGTGAAAATGTGGTGTTGATAATGACTGCAAGATTTTTTTAAAATCATTAAAAAGGTATTTGAGTAAAATAACTCATACTACCTGCTCACATTCTGTACATGCTAGGAAGTGGCTGGAGTCTGTGGCTTGCTCATTGGTAAGAGTTTGTAGGACTATGCTTGTCTCTTCATAGCACTGTGGGAAGGTTAGTCTCTTGAACATTCTTGTTCTGAATGGATTAAAATACTTGAACTTTGGGTTTTTCTTAGCCTTATCTATCTGTCTTTCTCTGATTTATTCAGATTGCCCTTTATTAAGGGAAACACTCATCCCTTTGATTACGGAAGGTCTGACCTATACTGATTATACATATTGTAAGTCGGATTGGACTTGGAATTAAACTAACCACTGACATGATTCAGTTAAATGTTAACTGACCTGTGTTAGCATCTGGTCAACCATATTTCAGATTAGTGATTGATATTCAAACTAATAGTGAAATTTTGTATTCTCAATACTGATAAATTTTTGCTTACAGAAACTGAAGGCTCAGAAGAGGAGGATAAAGAAAATGATAAGGGTGAAGAAATACCAAATGATTCAGTTCTTGAAAACAAAGTAAGTTATTCACTCAGTGTTATATGCTTATAGTAGGACTGTGAGTTAACTAGTGTAGGTGTGAATGTTATAGATAGCTGTTTCTTGGTTACAGATTGGGGATCCTTTATCATGCCTAGAATGGACAGATTCATTTCATCCCAGAGGGTCTTGTCTGATAGGGCAGATTTACATCTCACTGGTGTGCTATGATGGTAAGGTGATGATTTAGTATAGAAACTTTGTAGGGATTTTTTCAGGGAAGAAAGTCTGAAATTTGAACCTTTGAATCCTATATCAATTGTTTTTTGTTTTGTTTTTTTTAAATACTATTTAAATTTTACATGATCTTTCCTGTGTACTTCTGCCTACTAACAGTAATTTTGATGTCCTTTAGTCTCTTCAAGAAAATGACGAGGAGGAGATTGGGAACCTAGAACTTGCCTGGGATATGCTGGATTTAGCAAAAATCATTTTTAAAAGGTAAAACTCTGTGCTTTTTGGCTCAGGATAGAAACTTGATGGTTGAAAATAGAAAGCAGTTTAGGATTAAACTGCCATTCAGGTTTCTGATGACTTTTTCTTTTAGGCAAGAAACAAAAGAAGCTCAGCTTTATGCTGCACAGGCACATCTTAAACTTGGAGAAGTTAGTGTTGAATCTGGTAATACATTTAAATTGTTCTTCTCTTTCCTGATTTCCTCTTCCCTCTAGTTCTAATAAATTCCTTGAAGTCTAGCTTGATGAATTTGTGAGCTTTAAAAAGAGGTTGCTAGCTTTGGGTTTCCTTTATATATCCCCAGAACAATCTTTTTTTAAAACATACTTTACTGAAAGTCATCAATAAATCACTTTTGTTAGTCATTTTGATGTGCCTTTTTTTTTTTTTTTTTTTTATAAATAATAAATGCTATAATGAAATGGAAAGCTGGCATCTTACAGGATAGGTGGGAAATACAACAGCAGGTTATGTTAAACGGTATTCCTTTTCCCTTTATTTAGAGAACTATGTGCAAGCTGTGGAGGAGTTTCAGGCTTGCCTAAACCTGCAAGAGCAGTACCTAGAAGCCCATGACCGTCTCCTTGCAGAGACCCACTACCAGCTAGGCTTGGCCTATGGGTACAACTCTCAGTATGACGAGGCAGTGACACAATTCAGCAAATCTATTGAAGTCATTGAAAAAAGAATGGGTAAGTGAGCACTAGCTGTTTCTTTAGGATCCTGATGGATCAACGTCTTGAAAAGGTTTTTTGTTTTTTTTAAATTTTTTGGTGTCTGCTACTGACCATTTTAGCGTGTTCTTTACAGCTGTCCTAAATGACCAGAAGGAGGCTGAAGAATCACCTACTGAATATGAGAAAGAAATTGAGGAGCTGAAAGAACTGCTACCTGAGATTAGAGAGAAGATAGAAGATGCAAAGGAGTCCCAGCGTAGTGGGAATGTAGCTGAATTGGCTTTGAAAGCTACTCTGGTTGGTTCAGTTTTCTTCATAGCACGTTTGGTCCCATTGAGAGCATCATGTTTGTTAGTGTTCTCTTTGTTGAGAACTGTAGTCATGATTTGGTTTCCAGGGAGTTAGTAGACGGAGAATGTGAGAGCATCTCTGAAAAACTTCTATATTGATTAGTGAGGCATTGAAAGCTTTTATCCTGAAAAACCTGGCTCTGCTTTTGACTGTTGAGGATATTTGGAAGCTTCCTACCCTGCAGATAACATACATAGAGGATTTAGTTTAATATTTCCACTCTGCCTATGCTGGGGAAATGAATGATCCTTTTACTATATGGAGACCACACTAGCATTTCAGGTTATAATCAGTTACTTAGATGATGGGAACCTTGTAGTACTATGGGTGGCCTGGGTTCTATTCCTGGGATCCACTTGGGTTTGTCATCTCTCACAGGTGGAGAGTTCTACTACAGGTTTCACTTCTAGTGGAGGAGGCTCTTCAGTCTCCATGGTGGGTATTCAGGTGATTTTTGTCAATTAATAGTAGGCTTCAAGTGATTGTCTAATATGTAATTTGCACACTGCTAATAGAGGCTTCCTTTTAACAGATTGCTAGCAGAAAGCCAACTGATGGTGCTTCCTCATCAAACTGTGTGACTGATATTTCCCACCTTGTCAGGAAGAAGGTAAATCTATATATAGTGGTTTCTTTTCTAGGTTTCTCCATACCTTGTGTGTATGTGCCAAGGGATCCGTAAGGAGAACAGACTTTCTAGTAAACACATGTAATAGCACAAATAAGCTACAGAAAGTCACTTTGTAAGGGTGACGAGGATCTTTGTATGAAGGCAGGTTTCACTTTATGCCTATTCTGGCAGGTTCTGCTGGCCTCTCTCAGCCCAAGGAAAATTAGGAAAACTGTCAGATGAGCCCAGTGAAGAGAGGCTCCAAGTTTTCTTTGACAATAGATCTTCTGAGTTTGTCTTTTGCCTACTGTTATAGCAATTCTTTGTTTGTTTTCCTGATTCAAGTTCAGGAGTTTGGTTACTGTTTAAATCAAGTTCAGTTTGACATCTGGCTTGCCCCCCCCCCGCCCCCCAGCTTCCTTCTTCCGTTGTCCTTGTGGCTAGGGAGAGACCCTTAGAGCTGGGTTCTCAGGGTCTTTGCAACACAGAGATTAAGTAAGTGGTTTGCAGTTAGATGTGTATTTGTTTTTTGTTGTTTTTTTTAAAATACATTTGTGAAGCATTCACAATTAATATCTTTAGAGGAAACCAGAGGAAGAGAGTCCCCGGAAAGATGATGCAAAGAAAGCCAAACAGGAGCCGGAGGTGAATGGAGGCAGTGGGGATGATGCGGTTCCCAGTGGAAATGAAGTTTCGGAAAACATGGAGGAGGTGGGCAGCTAAGCAGGGCTTTACTTCTGTCTCATTTCTCTTTGTTCTCTGGGCCTGAGGAAACTTGGCCTCTTGAATGAACGCACCCCACCTTGAGTTTTTTTAGATTGCTTGAGTGCAACACTTAAAAAGCAGCGAATAAGAAACAGGAAAAGAAGTCTGGCAATTTAGTTACCTCAGATGTCTAAGAAGGCATTTGACTAGCAAAGAACGCTGGGTCACTTCTACTTTCTTATAATGAATATTGCCCATGTCAGTTAGTAATGTAAGCACATTAATCACAGTTCAGAATTCAGGAGTTGCCTTGTATAAGGAACAAAACAGAGTTGGCAGGATCTGTGTTCACTTACTCTGAAGCCTAACTGGTATATACAATGGAATGACTTAAACTAGGATCACTTATGTCCAGGTTCCCTGTTTGTCTTTCAGGCTGAGAATCCAGCTGAAAGCCGGGCAGCAGTGGAGGGGACAGTGGAGGCCGGAGCTACAGTTGAAAGCACTGCATGTTAAAGGGAGCAGAAGCTTCCTGCTGAGGGAAAGTTTTTTTGTATATAATGTATTTTTTCACTTTTGGGGGATTCTTTTTGTATAACTTCAATAAAGATTGTAAGCAAAGGTTGAAACTTGGATGGTTGGTCTTTTTTCCCCTTGCTTAAAATAATGTCCAGGTTTTTATATAGTGACCAAAGGTACTTTTATTATTTCTTTCATCTGTACGGATTTCTGTGCCAGAAGTTTTAATTCCCAATTTCTGTATGTGTTATGTGTAGATAATCAGATCAAGTATGGCTTTAGGCCCTGTATTTTTCAATGGTGCTATATTTGATTGTTTTAAATAACTGACCGAGCCCAGCTATCTTGGTGCTGTCCCTGAATGGGGGATTATGAAGAATCTTGTGCTTTGGTGGTGATCATGGGTGATGGACTTTTGGCTATCTGCTGACAGCAGCAGCCATTCAGGTCTTGGGTGGTACCTGTCTAATACCAACCTAGTCTCAACTGGGGCTTTAATTCTGCTTTAGAAAAAGAACGTTGAAGAAAACATGGGTAAAAATGATCTCTGAGGAAAACTATTTAAAACTATTTAATTGTAGTGGTTTGAAAAGGGGCTGAAGGATTATGATGGACACTTTTGAATGTTTTTGGAAGAATCTTGGTGGGGAGGGCTGGCTGGTTATTTTCTGTATAGAAAAATTAAAATATTAACATCTGAAATTGTTACCTTCTCTGCAGAGATTGCTGATTTCCCCAATAAAAATGCTAAAAGTCTCCTTGATTTGGACTTGTGTTTAAAGGTCTTACAGTGGGATGCTAGAGTGATTTTGGTGTGGGATTTAATTTTAATTTTGTCACAGGATTTATTTGCTGCTCAGGATAGACAGTAGGTTTAAATGTGGCATTTTAGCATTTTATGTTGAAGCAAAAGATCTGTACTGACCTCAAGTCAACTCCAGATTTCAGAGTTAGTTGTTTTTTTTCTGCTATTCAAAAATGGTTGTAGTTTTTTCTGTGACTCATGGCTGTTGGATATAGCTTTTTCTGGCTTTGAACTTTCTTCCTGATAATGCTCTTGTATTGGATAGTCCATGTCCTGAGGTTCTTTTTGGTCAGGACTTGACCTTGGGGTCTGGGCCAGTACAGTACTTAATTTCAAGATAAATGTCACATAAGACCCCACTTAGGAGGAACTTCATTGGGCTAGGGCTCCACCCCAACTATTAAGTGCCTTTGAGTCAGTTCCAACACATAGGGCTTCCTAAGATCAGCTGTTAATCTTTGCTTTCATAGGAGCTTCCTCTTCATGAGAAGTTTGAGAGTAGAAGGTTCGTTGGAGGAAGCTCTGGGCTGGGATTTGAAGTGTAGCAGCAATAAGAATGGCTTTAGCAAAAGAAGAGGTGGAATTGATTTGTAAAGTTCCATTGTTGTTGTTGTTGTGTGCCATGGGGTCGGTTCCAACTCATAGCGACCCTGTACAGGGTTTCCGAGGCTAAACCTTTACGGGAGCAGAAAGCCTCATCTTTCTCCCGCGGAACAGCTGGTAGTTTCCAACTGCTGACCGTGAGGACTAGCCCGATTCGTAACCACTATGCTACCAGAGCTCATTTAGCTGAACTTAAAACTCGTAGTTATCTTTCAGAGCCCTGGTATGGTACTATAAGATAAGCATGGGTTGCTAGTGGCAAGGTCATCAGTTCAAACCCAGTAGCCACTGAAACCTGATACAGGGTTGCTCACTAACAGTCGTCTTTCAAAGAAATTTCTATATGCTAGAAATTTGTGAGGTACTCATTCATTCTGATAAAGTTGTCATTTGAACTCACATTTTGTGTCAGTAATGGCTATTGACCTGTAGGTCCTATGCCTGAATATGGAGTAGTAAAGCCATGTGTCTGGGAATAGAGCTCAGTCTAGGCATAGGGTAGCCCTGTGCATGTTTAGCTTCTCATCTTTCTATGACTCCATTGAGGGGCTCCTCTGCAGGAGGTGGTGGGTCAGCAAGGCCAGCTGATGGGACAAGGAAGCTTGCTTCCAGTGAAGATGAGCTGAACATCTGTGGAATGGGAAAGATTTAAGAGCACAGGTTTTGGCGTCAGATTACCTGAAGCTTATAGATTTCTTTTATCCTGCCTTGACTACTGTGAACCTATAGGGCTCCTCATGTGTCATAATGTTGAGTACTGGTGTTGGTTTAGACTCTTGACAGTGACCCTAGGAAAATAGAATTTTTCCATAGGATTTGCTAGGCTTTAGTTTAACTAGACAGCAGATTGCCTGTTTTTTCTGATGAGCAGCTGGTTGCATCACCAGGGAGCCTTAATTTGCCTGTATTGTGGGTATGTGAAGGAACCCTGGTGGTACAGTGCTTAAAGTGCTCAATTGCTAAAGGAAAGGCCAGTGGTTTGAGCCCAACTACTTCCAAGTAAAGATGTGGCAGTCTCCTGTAAAGATTACAGCATTGGGTGGGCAGCAAGCTATTCTCAGCCCTGAGTTAGGTTTCTAAGGTGGAATTGAGTCACAGTGGTCAATAAAGACTGATGTTAGCCACACCTTTGATGCATCTATCTCCTGTTGGACTTTCACTGTAGGTGGGTATTGGTATTCATGGGCACTCGTTGGGTTGACCTCTACCAGTGTCTGAACACCTGCATCTCTTGAGTTCACCAGTCGAAGGAAGAGCTCAGCTTCACCTGCCTGGAGGAGGTTGACAATACTGCATGTGTACCTT